ATCTGTTGCAGAAAGTTTACAAAGGGTGATTAGAATTTATGTAAATACCAAGGCAGAACTTGCAGCCCATGGCTTTATTTCACACGGCATGTTATTACAAAACCTACTGCTTCAAAGCAAAGACAGAGCTGCTGCAGGCATTGGATTCACATAGGAAATACAGGCTGCAATTATTTCTTTGGAAGATTGCATAATGCTAAGGTGTGTGTTGCATGGGTACCTGCCAGAAGGATTTACAGGTCCAGTTTGGCCATCAGTACAGAAGTTTGTCACTCTGAGGTTCTTACACTTGAGAAAGTAACAGGAGATTTAGCTGAGGAAGTAATTATTATTGTTATTATTATTAGCTTTTCTTAGAATTGAATATTGTGAAATGGTGAGCTACAGCTGTTTCTTCACTGCCAAGTGACCTTCAGGAATTACTGTCAATCTCTGAATTTACAGTCTTTACAATTACTATATTTCTAAAAACAAAATCCCCAGTAACTTAGAGGTAAAATATCTTTCTTACATTTCTTTAATGGTTACATACTTTATTTGACAGGAATTATTTTCCCTGAGGGTCTATTAAAGAAATAGTTTGAAGACATAGCCTTTTTTTCAGTTGCACATAATCTTTTTTTTGCCGTTATTCAGTACATGCCTGTGAGTTCAGAGATCTTAATTCACAAAGGTACTTGGCTACATTCCTAGCTCTAGGCAGACTAATAGTTTTGTTGTCTTTACTGGGACAATTCATGTGCTTCAAGTTAAGTGCATGAATAGATAACTGGTTGAAGGCAGAGGATTATCTCAGTCTTTGTATAGAAGTTCAGTAGTATTTGTAAGAGCAAAGTCTCTTTGCCCAGATGAGTTTTGTGTATTCTAGCTCAATAGCTTCTGCATCCTTGTCTTAAAGCCTGACAAGTCCTTGTGCAGCCATTAAGTCCACCAAAATCCAAATGTGTGAAGGTGTTTAGGTACTCTCAGAAACTGTAGTCAAAGTAAATAATTTCGTATTTTTTTCTGCTCAGATATGTATTTACTCATGAGAATAATTTTTCTATCTTGGTTAATGATTCATTTGGTGAAACAGATTCTGACCTATTTTCTGCTGGAATTATTTTCTGAGAAAAGCCTTGTAGCCAAGAACTTCCCTACCGAACTTGAAATGCAGATCCCCTTGTAAGCCACAAGAGCACACAGAGTACATGGAACCAGTGCTTTCAGGAGCGACAGTCATTGCATTGCACAGCTGAAAAAGCCTGAATCAGCAAACAAAATAGGACAAAATGGAAAACTGAAGAGTTCTGTGAGAAATTCTAGCCTGACTGAAAACACATCTGTGACAGGCAGAGGCAGCGGAAGCTGAGATATAGAGATTGGGCACGTAGAAAAAATGGTTTATGCTTCTAGACAATGTAATTCATATTGCAGCTGGGAAGAAGAATATCAAGAGACAGCAACTATTGGATATGTCACTTGGTACTTCTGGACGAAGGGAAAGTGCTGAAAAGAAAAATGTTGACTAGTAAATTACTGGAAAGTGCAAAGAAAACACATGAGAAATGCAACCAAGAAGTGAAAAATGATGCAGGGAGAGGCAACAGAGACATGCTGAAGGCCTCACGGTTGAACTGGAAGCTTCTACTACGCTGGAAAGTCACAGAGACTCTAAAAAAATAAACGGCAGGCAGACTTCTGTACCAGAAGTGGAGCTATGAAAAGCAAAGACAGAAGAGTGCTCATTACCAAAGTAGAACAGAAAAAGAGCTTGGTGGTGCATTTCAAAGAAGTTGTGAATGGGTTCAGCTTCACCATATTTCAAAGAAAGATGGGAACCTGAACATTTTGCCCTTTTTTGTGTTAAGAACAGAAATTGAAAGCACAGGCTGCAGCCATCATGCTGAAAAATATAAAGCCAGCAAAGGATGACAGGAGAAAAGCTTGAAGAAACGGGAAGTAAATTAATATCTAGGAAGAAGTGATTGTGCCTAAAGAATGAGAACATGGAATCAATGAATGGATGCCTGTGATAAAGATCCCACATGTTGGAGAGGTCTCCTTGCTTTGTCCTGGGGAAAGTCTTCTACAGTGATAATACACGGAGTGAAAGATGCTGCGACTGTGGAATTCAGAGGAAAACAATCTGGATTTGGACTGAAGAGATTCTGTAGAGACTGGCCATCCATGTTGCAGATTACTGTGGAAGGATCATTCTCCATGAAAAGCATCTTCTTTTGCCATAGCTTTAGTTGACCTTCAAAAGTTATCACTTAGCATGAAGAGTCCTACATGGTGGGGCATGCTTGAGATCTGCCAAGTCCCAGTTAGAAACTTCAGAAACATGCACAGAGATCAAAATACCCAGTGAGGGTAAGTAATTGCACAACAGAACAGCTCAGCCAGGACACAGGTCTGAATCTTTTCTCTGCTGCTGTTTGGCATTGGCGTGGGCTGACTATGGAAGCAGTGTTCAGGCTTCAGTGTAGAATACACAGATTGCCAGGGCATAAAGGGACAGAGCACTGAGTTACTGTGCAGTGACTTTGAAAAGCTGGGAAGAAAGACGGATGTCCTGGCAAAGGTGGGTCAAGCTTAGCTCAAAATCAATTAGCTCAAATCCATCCTCCTTATAACGCAGATGTCGTGTTGATGCAACATCCTGATAATTTCAAGGAACCACATCTTTTCCAGCAAAACTATCAAGAAGGAGGTGAGATAAGGGTGTATATTCATAGCATGAGTAGGCATGACATAAAGAAATAGGAAATAATGCAATCTTGTGTTAACATACAGCTGTGAGAACTGGAGACATACCAAAGTGGTAGAGAGGAAAGTAGATGCTTTCTTAAGAGGGATCCTCAATCTGTCTCTGCTGGTGTCAGAGAAAGTGCAAGGGTTCTTGAGGTGGGTACTCCAAATTAATGTTTCTCAGCCAGTTTTAGATCAGGTGTGTATGATCTATGCACTGGCGTATAATTTTATTCACACACCAGGGTGAACACATGGTCAGCTTCTCATTAAAAGAAACTTTCAATAGTTATATTTTATATTAAAAATATAAATTCAGCATTAATTCAGTCAGAGATCAGTCCCCACCAGCCCTTCCCACAGTCGTTCTGCAGTGCTGTGGGTGCAGACGGGTGTTGTGTCAGTGCACAGCAGCCCGTGTGCGTGCCATGCATGCATATGGCATCCCCGGCAGTCCATATATCCCCCCATGCTCTGAGTCAGTGTGTGAGGGAGAGGATGTGCGAGTGCACATATGCATCTCAGTGGGGGACGTGTCAGGGGAGCACAGAGCAGAGGGGAAGACTCAAATAGAGATTGCTCTTCAGGGACCAGGCATGGTGGCCACCACAGCTTGGCCCCTCGCCCACCTCTGTCCCCTCCCCACAGGCCGAGGGGAGCCAAGGTGGACATCAGGCTGGAAGTGGTCACTTCTGACCCTCATCTCACTGTGTGAAAACTCCAGCTTGCTGTATCCTCAAGTGTGAGAGTGGACGCTTTAAATGCCGGCACATTTGTGATCATCTAAATCATGTGGTAGAGACCAATTACGGAGAGAAAGCAAAATTCTCCAAGGAAATCTTTAAGAAGATGGCTTGATGGAGGGCAAGGTATAATTGACCTTGAGACCAGCGTGCTACTAGAAGCAGAAGCAGCAAATAGCAAAGAGGAGTGGAAATATTTTACACCAGTGGGAGGATGGATGAATGAGTGTTCACAATAGTAATGACTGACAAGCAGATCTTGAGGGTAATGTTCCTTTAAGAAAGTGACCTCATCTCTAATGTGAACTACCTGTAGACATATATAAGCATTTTCACTGGCTGTAAAAATGTGTATGTAACAGATTTGTCATCCCATAATAACCCCAAGGAATAATGGAATGGAAATGTGCTTGTGCCTCATGTTAGGTTTGCACCCTGCACTTCAATCTTCTGGTGTCTGTCCCAGATAAAATAGGTCAGCATTACATTTTCTTTTGGAAAACGCTCTACATCACGTTAGCTGGTTGTGTGGTAACTTAGGCTCGTCTCTCAAACCAATTAGCAGGGATTTTTAAAGCAGGGTTAAATATGCCTAAATTGTATTTCAGTCCTTTTAGCTGGATGTATTTTAACATTTTCTTATTGTTTAAATAACTTTCAGAGTACACCACAGTAGATGTTAAATCTCTCAAATATATTTGATTGATTATATTTGTTTTCCCCAACTTGCTGTGGATATTGAACCAGTGATCCCTGTCAAAACAAAGGCGAATGTTGTCACTGGAGGTCAACTGAAGACTGAATCTCAGGTGTGTTACGTATGTTCACTTAATGAAGTGCCCTTAATGCAACCAGAAATGACCCCTTCCCAGCCTCCCAGACCCCCTTGAATGTCAATTAACCATAGGTATTTGCTGAATGTGGAGTAGGTAAATAGCCAAAGGTGTGCACTAAAGCAGGAAAGGTAATTTTGGGCTTTTTGTTGAAAGAGGAGGAGGGTGGTCCCGGTCTTATAAAGCCCAATGCTAACCACGCAGTTTGCCCTACAGAGAGTAAATAACCCTGTCCCAACTCATTTTTGTCAGTGCCCATCAAAAGTCAGTTCCACTGAAACTAAACCCTGAGTTTATAGGCAGGAAATTCCAACTATTTTCCATAAAGGAAACTGTTCTTTTTTCACCGCCTAGGAAAAGGTACTTTAAACATATAAAACATATAGCAGTTAATTTTTTCCTGAAGCCAGCGCTTAGTACATCATGTCCATTCCCAGTGCTGTCAATCATTATCCAGGGAGCATATTGTTCAGAAGGTGGAGCTGTCAAGCAGAAGGAATAAAAGGTAAGAAAAGGAAAGCTTCTGCTTCTTGCTGATGCCAAGGGTAAGTGAGATTATGTCAAACCTTTAAACAAGAGTCCCCTTTCTCTGCCCCACCCCCTGCTCCTATATAACACACGCAGCATTTAGCAATACCTGCTTTTACCCAGCCGGTGGTGGGGTGTGCATGCCTGCTTCTCACCCCTCCTGATGGATGCTCTCACTGGCAGCCCCCTTGGATGGCTCTGCATGGGCGTCACTGCACTTTTTGGGGCAACTGTGCTCCGCACAGCCAAGAGGAGCCCGGCAGAGCAAGCAAGTGTGCTGGTCTGGAGGCTCCTGCCCGCCTTGCTGGGGCTGCTGTGTGGGGCCACGCTGGGTCCTGGCGGGGGGCTGGTGGTGTTTTGTGCCGCGTGTGTTGTCTCCTCTGTGTACCTGGGTGGCAGGGCGCTGCTGCCCGTGGGCGACAAAGCTGTGCTCATCACAGGTAAGGTGCCGTGGATGCGCTCCGGGAAGCAAAAACTGGCTTTTCTCACAAGTGGGCTGGAAAACTTGGTGCCCTTGGGTTAGGTATCTATGAAATGCATGCTCGTAAGGTTTCCTCTTATTTTTTTTTTTTTTCTCATTTTGTTTGCTTTGCCAGAGATGTTTTTCCCAGGTAAATAAGTGTTCTGAAATTAAGCAGAAAAGCATCTTAATAGATGCTATTACTTTTTAGTGTCTCACTTAATCTTTACAAGTAGCTTTTCAGACATACTTGTGAAATTAACTGGTGCAAAAAGCATAAGAATACTTACGATGGTCTAATTTTTTAGGAGAGACATTAATTTCTGAAAACCCTCTGAACACTACATTCATACATTACTTTTGTTTACTTGAATTTATTGCACTGGTTATGGATGTACGATTCTCTTTTGGTGTGTGCATTACACAGTGCACACTGTGTATATCATGCATATATTTCAAGACACTGGTTTGGTGCCATCTCTTTGAAACTATGTATGAAATCATTCAGGAGTGAGTGATTTCCTTCACTAGCAGTGAAAGTTCAGAGCTAATGGATTCATTCTCTATTAACACTCTGATCTACGCAAAACCCACTTCTAGTTTGCAAGGATGGCGTTTTTGTAGTTTTATAGCTTCTATCCTGTTTCTTCTAAAACTTTAAATGTTGTTTATTTGTGTTAATCAAACCTTTAAACTGAAGTGCCTGCCAACAGCTTCTTGCCCTGTTAACTTGCTCTTTTTTTTTTGTTTATTTTCTATTTTTCCCCTCTGGAAAGCTGTATTAAGTTGCTTTGGTTTATATAGCTATTTCTTGTAGAATTTCATTTTGTTTTATAGGGACACCTGGAAATAATTTAGGTTTGCCTAGCAAGCATTGATTTGGGGATTAAGTACAAAAGTTAAGAGCAAGTTCTCCCCTCGCAGTTTATCTCCAGCTGGGTTTCTTCCTCCAGGTGTATCTGACAAAGACGGGTATCAGGCAGGGGGGAATAGGGAACACTTTTGTGCCACCCCTGCAGACACAGGGGTTGTGCTTGCACTTGGGCATCTCCTTGCTTTTTGTAAGACTGCAGTTCTTTAGGAAAAAGCACTCTCTCAGAGCTTACCTGCGCTAGAAAATTTGAATTAGAGTGATATAAGGGAGTGAAGAACGTTTGAATATATTCCAGCAAGTGAAATGTGCTTTCTCTGTACCTGTGCTGCAACTGTCCTGAAGAAATGCAAGTTTAGACACCTCTGACAGCTGATGTGTCTGAGGAGGCTGCTCTTGATCTTTATTTGAATCCAGACTGGTATGCAATCAATCAACCCTCAACCAACTGAAACGAAACTTTTACTCAACACATTTCTTGGTTAAATTACTCTGATTGTGGTACTCTTCCCCATACCAACTGTAGGACGTGTGTCTGTGTGCCTGGGCAGATGCAAGGTGCCTGTAAATCAATTTTGGTGTCACTTTCTCTAATTTAGACAAGACCTCAGGCAGGGACTTCATGGGAAATGGTGATTTATTTATTTTTTCCCCTCCTTTCCACCCCCCTTTCAGCCCCACAGGGTTGAGGAATGCTGCTGTGCTCCGTGCAGCTGCTGCATATCACTTGTGAGATGGCTGCCTTCAGCCAGAGGATGGAGTAATCTCTGTGCTTCTTTCCTGGGGTTTTGTCAAATGTCGTTCTGGTCCTCTTTGGATGTCCCTTGTACAGATGCTGCTGTGTGTTGTGTATTTAAGCCAGCAGTTCACCAGAATACCATGATAAGGGAAAACTGCCCCCAGTTTTCAAAATGCTTTTTCACGTGAATAACTGTGGGCATGTGAGCAGTCTTAAAGTCATTGGTGAAACATTTCTACTGATCCTCTTGCTGGGAGTGGGTGCTTCCATGTCCTTAAACAGAAATTCCTGGGCATGCATGGTAGACTCACTAGCCAGCTTCCCTAGAAATTAAATTACCATGAAGATCTGAAGTAGCAGAATTGTAAAGTTCTTGCCTCACTTATTCTGTGTGCTGTGGGATGAATTTTCCCAGTTAACTTAGTCTTTTAGTTCTTGGTGTGTGACTTGGTGTTTCTGATGCTCAGTACTGAGTCAGTGATAAAATCTCAGTAATGATTCAGTTACAGTTGGTAGTGACTGCCTTTCTTATAATAAATCTTCTAATCATTCACAAATTGTTATTTCTGACATAGAAGCAAGGGCGGGGACAGGGGGAATTCTCTATTTCTTCCCTATAAAGACCTAACTACTGTTTGAATTTTATGAGTTGATGGGTAAAGTTTCTCTGTCCTTCAGTAACAGGTCTGAAACTCAAATCAGACTTGTTTTGATAAAAGCTGGGGACAAACCCAGGAGCAGGCATAGAAAAACCCTGCTTTTTATTACCTCTTTGGGGTTGCTACATCCAACCCTAGTTGTTGAGCACTTTGCCCTTTCCCAAGTTACACCTGTGTTGTAAAACTTAAATAATATGTAGCTCTGTGGCTCTGTACTTTCTGGGAAGGATGAAAGGGGAAGGGTTTGACCCAGAAATAGGGTTTTTCACTAAAAGGGAAAAAGACTCCCCACCCCCAAAACCAGAGATCTGGCATGCCTTTGGGATATTTGCAGGCCTCTTCATGTCTCTTTAGGGAATTCCAGGAATGAAGGTTTGTTCTTCTCTTTCAGGTCAGGGCTGTGAGAAGCAAAATGTGATATATGTGGTGCTCTGGTGCATCTTCAACAAACTGCAGACTTCAAAAATGCCAAAAAGCTTTTTTTTTTTTTTTAAAAGAATTAAGTAGAGCATGAGTAATTCTTTTCAACATCTTGCACTGATTGATCCAGGCATTTAGTACATTCTTTCAAGTCACCTGCAATTAATTTTTTTTTACCTTTCAGGACTAAAGCTCCAGTTAAAAAACAGAACCCAGAAATGAAGATGTAGCATGATTAAGATGAGTCTATTTGGCAGTGAATTTCTGTTGACTATGGATTTTGAGTGCAGGAGCAGCCCTGTGAATAACTATGATAATATACACCTTGGTGTTCTGAGATCTCAGATTAACCCTTAGAAGTTTCTGGTAGTGCTAAGTAGGAAGTATTGCAGCTCTATCACAAATGAGGAAATAGTAAAAAAAAAAAAAACGGCAGGAGTTCCAGCCCTTTGTCCCGCGTTCAGGTTTCCAGCCATGCAGGTGGGTTTGGAAGCTGAGCATTTATGGAATAAATTGCTGTTGCAGGAGATAGCCAAGCCCTGGGATATCTCCACGGATCTCGGTGCGCATCAGCATCTGGGAGTGCTTTTTGCCGGAGTTACAGTGGAGGACGCGGTGCAGTATCGTGGGACGTGCTGATGTGTCTCTGCTTTAAAACTCCTCATTTTCCTCCTGATACTTTCATTTGCAAAACTTTTGCAGCACAGTCTCTATAAACTCCCTCCCTGTCTCTAGCAGAGCCCTGTGTCGCTTCATTGGGCGTCTTGGTGGGCAGATGGGTGAGATGTTTCCTCCCTCGTTAAGGAGTTTCTCTGTAGATGGGAAGAATGGAAATTGGAATTAAAAAAAGACACCAGCAGAGAAAACACCTAAAAGTATTTTAAGATAGTGGCAGCAAAATAATGTGTCAAAGGGAGAGACTTGTGACTCAATCTAATTGTTAAATATTCATCGTACTTACTTGGTGGGAAGAAATGCACAATCATGATTGCAAAGATTGTTGTGTGTTTGCTCTAATAGTGTTTCCTGCATTTGGTAGTTCGTTGCTTTAGAAGGACAAAGTTTGGGAATAAGTTTGAAAGATGATAGAGAGGAAAAGAGAAATTCTGATAAAAGTTTTCATGAATTAAATAGCTGGTGCTATTTGACTTAGCCTAAAACTGCTATTCTGAAGCTTTCTTAGGGTTTGAAAGCATTGAACTCCTTTGCAGGTAAAGAAACAATTGCTTAGCTTTGGCTAAAAAAGTGTTTATCGGAAGGATCTGGATGGTAGGTGTTTGAATAAAATAAAGCTACTACTTTGAATTAAGAAATAGAGCCCAACAATTGGAATACCAATGCCCTATAATTGTCCATCTGAGATTTCAAATTAAAATGTTTGTGTGTTTTTTCTTTTTTTTTTTTCTTTTTCCTAGATACTTTTATTATCAGTTTTCAATCTGAATATTTGCATATACCAAATCTAGGGTTTTATTTCCTCTGTATGTATGATGTAAGCCTTAGAATCTGTCAGTGGTAGAGAGTCTGAGCTGATGCCATATCTATCAGTCTTCATGGGACATGCAAAAGTCCAGCTCCTCAAGCCTTCAGATCCGAACATTTCTTCCTACTGTCATATGTATTTCAGTGACTTTATTTCACCATCTTTTTTTGGTTACGTTTGTACATATTTCCAATGTGTGCTTTTTTTTTTTTTTTGAAATGATGTTTTAGGACAAACCCATGTTTGAAGTGTCTTTTTGATGCTTTCAGGAAGCGACACTGGGATTGGACATGCACTGGCTAAATACCTGGATAACTTAGGTTTTGTTGTGTTTGCTGGAGTTTTGAATAAGGACGGACCTGGAGCTGAGGAACTGAGACAGACCTGTTCTCCAAGACTCTCTGTCCTGCAGCTGGATATAACCAATGCCACCCAAGTCAAGGAAGCCTATCTAAAAGTCTCAGAGAAGATGCAAAATACAGGTACACTTTTTTTTGTTTCCCATTATAATGGGAGTACTAATGTAGCTGCTTACAAGGAGCATCTCTCAACTGTTGGCTGCATCATGGCTCATGTGTGTAGGTCATTTCCACACCACATCTGTGGGCAGTCAGGGTACTTCTATTGATGGTTGCTGCTTTCTGGGACATAAGAAAAATGGTGATGACTTTTCATGGAGTGGGTACTGTGTATTTGTAGCTGCAAATAATCTCTGCTTTGATCTGGAGGCACCATCCAGCTCATCAGTTTAATTGTGATGAAGTTGATTTCCTGCTCTATAGCAGCCCTGTGCTTTCTCTTCTTCCCAGGACTCTGGGGACTTGTGAACAACGCGGGCATCCTGGGCTTCCCTGCTGATGGTGAGCTGCTCCCCATGAGCATGTACAGGCAATGCATGGAGGTGAATTTCTTTGGGGCTGTAGAGGTGTCCAAGACCTTCTTACCGTTACTTCGGAAATCCCAGGGGAGGCTGGTTAACATGTCCAGCATGGCAGGTGAGCCAAAATAAAGCACCAAATAAATTTCTGGTGCAACAGAAACAAAACCTAACTTCCTTGGCGAAAATGCTGAGGGATGTCTTGTTTGGTCTTGCTTGTTGATACACCTAGGAAATTGATATCTAGGTAATAAGTGCAGGTTTTTCTTTTTTTTTTGGGGAGACAATTTCCAGAAAACAACCCTTAAAGAAGAAGAGTTTAATATGGCTAAAAATGTGCTGTTATATAAAAGACTGCAAAAATCAGGTCTTGTGTTATAGATTGTGAGATCTGGCTTTGTGAACTTCCAGAAAGATGAGTGGTACATCACAGATGTTTCTATAACCTGTTCCAGCAGAAGTCTGTGACCACCTCTGTTTGCGGGTCCTTGAACCACACTGTGCAGATGCCAAAAAGCTGCCTCCTTTTGCAGAGACAGACTCTCTTCCATTTGGCCTGGTTACAGTTAAAGAATCAACTTTTTTTAACAATTTGGGTTAAAATTGGAGCATAAATGTCTTTTGAGTAAGTTCATTACATTTGCCATTTCTAACAGTCTGTAATAAATGTTAGACGTTTCACTTGGGCAGCTCCACCTCTCTGCCCCTGTAGGGCTCAAGTACTGTAGTTGGAGTGAGAAAGCACAATAATAAAACACCTGCTGAAGAGAAGCATTTGATTCTTCAAGAGCAGAAGCCAGTTTTATTTTTTGCTGCATCGTGTGGTTCTTTCCAGAGTGCACAGTCCTAAAGCCATGGTCTGCTAATAACCTGGGACCTGAAAAAAGTGTGTGTTTATATTTATTTAAAAGAATTTTGATTATCTTCTTAAAAATCCTTTAGCCTAACTCATTAGCAAAGTGTTATTTTTTCCATGAATAAAATAAAAATTATTAACAACATATAATATGATTTCCAGTTTTCTCCCATGAATTGGATCCTGTGCTTACTATATATATTATGCCTTTATAAAGTGACCTTCTATTCTAGGACAGCTGAGATGCTAAGTTACAGGAACTGAAGTAATACAGTATCTGGTAGCCAACAGCTGAGGAGCAAGAATGCTCCTTTGAAAATGATACCTGCCAGAAGCAGGAAGTCACGATGCTGGAAAGTATTTTCGTTTAAGACCTCTTAAGGATTTACCATATTGTTGCTTCACAAATTTTCCTTTGCCCTGGCTTCTTGGACACTTACTTCTGTGCAGTTGATCTCCACCCAAATTCTGCTGTATTGCCAGGGTGGCTTGTGAAGGTGTCACCTTGTACTCATGGCTCGCATTGAGGATGTGGCCTCAGCTTAGCTTCAGCACTGTTGTCTGTTTTCTTTTTATAATCTCAAGTATGTTTTCTATCTTGCATGCCTCTGTTTAGGGTTCATTGCTGACACTAAAAGAAATCAGGACTGAGTTATCAGAAGGACCTTTCTGGTGCTCCTTTGCCCACCAGCCCTTGCAAGCGCAGAGGCAGAGGACAGACCTCTGTCTTCTCTGAGCACCCAAGTGAAGCTTGCGCTTCCAGTGTTTTGGGTCAGATGTCTTAATTCTTGGCACGAATCCCCGAGCTACCTTTCAGGGATAAATGGACAGCTTCCTTGTGCTGAGCAATTTGCCTTTACAGGAGTTGATAATGACTCTGCTTAAACTATAGATGTTAACACAGATGTTCTTGCATGCGGGCTGGTTTGGGTAAATAGCTTCCTCTTAGTGCAGGGTCTGAGGGTCCTTTGGTAAAACATTAGCAGAAAAGTTAGTGAGGTCTCATTGTGCTGAATCTATTCCTGTCTGTGTAGAGCTAATTTAACTGGACTTGAGGTTAGCCTGACCTCAGAGGGAAAAAGTATGTGATTCAATTGGCTCAAACCAATTGAAACTCAAACTTATTCAGATGCATACAGAAGAATAATTAACATATAATTGGCCTGACTTCTTCAGAGGAATGATTCTGTGTAAGGAGCTCCCAAGAAACCTTGGTCATTGCAGTACAAAACCCAATAAATGGCACCTGAAAATTTCCCTGTATTGGAGTATTTTCTTTTAAAACATTCAAATACACAGAGATAAGTGTGTAATGTTTTAAATGGAGGCTGTGCTCCACTGCCCATGCGGGGAGGAGGAGAAGTGATGTCCCTCAAGGAGAAGGTTGCCCATTCTGTTCCCTCTTCCCTGCTGTGCCAACCTAAATCTGTGATGACCCCTAAATCTGACAGTGATACTTTGCGATAACATCAGCCTTGTGGAGAAAGTGGGGGGGCTGAAGAAGGAAAAGCTGTGCAAATCAAAGCATCTTTGGGTTTTTCTAAAGCTGAAGAAGTGACAGATTCCCAGTTTTTGCAACAGAGGAAATCTCTGTATTTGGAAGATATTCTTTTCTGAAAGCTTTTGTTTTGTAAACATAGGGATTTATTTTAAGTTCACTTGGCTCTTTTCTGTCTTTTCCATCTGAACAAATGCAGCTGGGATTGGAGAAGGTGGGGTCCTATAGGCAGAGGACCTGCTTCTATGATGGGTCTTGGGGAGTCCTGTTGCCTGGGAGGCATGATTCTAGCTTTGATTTGTCCACAGAGGTTTCCCCTACTCTTACACTGTTGTCTCTGGTCTTTCTGAAACTATCTGGAAAGAACTGGAAGATAAGTTGACTTTATAAAGCCAGAATTGAGACGACTTACCCTGTTGTAACTGTGGTTTATAGTAGGAGCTTGAAATTTGTGTTACAGTGACAACAAGAACAGGGGCATTAAACTATTGCTTCAGTATTTATATGAACTAAAACATTATCTGTGTTTCTGAAACCAACAATCATAATTTTCAGCAGTTTTTACTCTTAAATGCAATACAGTTTATTTTTTCTGCCATACAAGGTGTCTTATCAGGTGTTACTGAGTATAACTGCTATAAGCAACTACTAATTTACAACTTTCACTCTTTTTTAACCTCTAGAAAGGAATGATTCCCTCACTGACTTGCCTTTAACCTCAGTGAGAGCCGCATAATTTTGGTTGTGCTATAATCTTCCTTCTAAATCACGAAAATAAAGGCTGGAAAGAGCCACCGTCAAGCTTTATCACGTTTATATTGCTCCTGCAGGAGGCATTCCACTACCGAGGTATGCTGCGTACGGTGCATCAAAAGCAGCTCTGACCATGTTTTCTGGAGTAATGAGGCAAGAGCTTTCCAAATGGGGAATTAAAGTTGCTGCAATTCATCCGTCAGGCTTCCAAACAGGTTGGTATTTGACATTTCGGGTAGTTCTTTCTGCCTCGCTTCTTTCCCTGCAGTCTAGCATCCTCAAACAGAGCCTTGAGTGGTTCTCACCAGTCGGACTTTTCCCCCCATTCTTCACGTTGGTTATGGAAATTAAGATCTGCATTTTTTTGCAAGAGATGTTCCCTCCAGTTCTGCGTGCTGCCTGCCTCTGCCTTGCAAGTGTAGCCTTTCTCCTGGGCAGAGCACTTTCTTTGCTTTGAGACAGGGCAGGGTTCAGGCAATCGGTACCTTCCTTTTGCTGTAGCTCTGAAGTTAAATTGAGCATCATGGTGTGTTTGATTTGAGTGTTAACAACTTGCTTGTCCTGCGTGAGAGCTTCAGGGCTCACTGTCAGTCCTACCTTTCTCAATATCCGAGCTCTTTTTACTGAACTGCTCGGTCTTACTGCTCAGCCTTGCAGTGAAGTATCTGCAGCAATACCTGTCATCCAGCTTACTTGCTCTTGGTGTTACTTTATAGTCTCTGATCTTTCTTTCCCTCTGCTGGCCCTGCTGCTTTCTGTTCCAAATCCTCCTCCCCCTTCCACTGCTCTGAGCACTTTCTGCAGAGCCTGTCCAGGTTATACTCATCTCCTGCTACACACACCCTCGCTGCACTCCACGCCCACCCAGGAGAAGGGTGAGTGTCACACAGGTCCCTGCTCCATGGACATGGTTGGCAGCTACCTGAGGACAACATCAAATCCCACTGCTGCCTACTCAGCAGGTCCTGGTGACTTCATGGAGACAATTTTTATGCCAATGAAAAGCCAAATGGTCATTTTTCATAAAACTGCACTCCCTTGAATGCCTCCGCTCCTGGGGAGGGGCCCTGCGGGGCACTGGGCTCTGGCAGCACCTGCGTGGTCAGCAGTACCTGCCTGAGGTTCTGCCTTCAGGGCCCTGCTTAGCTGTCGTCAGACTTCCAGATGAAAACTTAATGCATCAAACCAAGTCTCAGTATTTGAGAATTAAATATTTATTTCAAGGTTTTCCTTTATTTGCAATGCTTGATTCGTGATAGTTAGGCAATAAATGCATTGGGAAAGCAACTGCTTTCATTCCCAAATGATGCAGATGGGGGCTAAAATAGATTATTATTATTATTTTTTTTTTTTTAAATCTGGCCTAATACAAGCCTTATCCTTCCTAAAACTAGTTATAGAAATACCAATGTCGCTTGTAAAAGAGAAGCTTAGCACTTGACCAACTCAAGTGAGTGTGGTTCATCTTAGTTTTCCTGCATTTCCTCAGTCACTCACATCTGTTAATAAATACTGATTAGAAACACTCACAAAATTAATAAAGACAGAATGGCAAAGGGGAGGGGGGGAAGAAAAAATGCTGATTTTGGCTGTGAGAGAGCGCTTTCAGGTAGAGCTGCGAACCAAATGATGCATGAACCCCATGCTTTTTGTGTAGTCCGTGCTTCGTGTTTTCCCTTCTCTTCCAGGTAAAAGCAGTTGCAGCTAACCAGCTGTTTTGTCTGTTCTTCACTGACCCAGTTTAGAACAACTGTGAATCGGGGTGGTGGTGAACAACTTATTGACTATTAATTGTAGATGATTTTTTTTTTTTTTTAATTCAGCCCTTAACCTACTTGCTATCCTGTGATGTTGCTGCTGCAGGTATACAAGGCACATCCGACCTGTGGGATAAGCAAGAAAAGGATCTGATGGAGAACCTTCCAGCAGACACAAGGCAAGACTACGGTGAGGACTACCTCCTGGGGCTGAAGAGCTACCTTGTGCACATACCCGCGTACTGCGCCGCCGACCTCTCCCCTGTGCTGAGCGCTGTCCTGCACGCTTTGCTGGCCAAGAGACCACAGGGCTTGTACACCCCTGGCAAAGGGGCTTACCTGCTCCTCTGCATCTTCTGCCACTTTCCTCTCTGGTTCTATGACTTTTTCATTAGTAAGATGCTAAGCACTGAGTCTGTCCCAAGGGCGCTGAGAACATCAGAAGCTGAAAGCAAGAATCTCTAAGGTATCCATCAGCGTTTGTCTGTCTTGATGGTAACTGGGAAAAAACTCTATTTTAAGACACTGCTTTTTATTGTACTGTCTTTGTTAAATTGCATTTACACTGCCTTGCAAACAGAAATAAATCTTTGTGTTAAGAGTAATGTTCAGGAAAAGCAGTGGGTAAACAGAAATAGAAATCTATCCCCAGATGGGGCATTGTTTGGAGGAATTTCAATGTTTTCTTGATGTCTTTGTATCTTGCCTTCTGTGTGAGGTATCTCATGAGGTTATATAGTTCTTGTCTGCTTCAAAAGGCACTGCCAACGCACAGACAGGTGTATAACCGGTTTTTTAAAACAAAACAAAAAAATCTTTGAGAGTCAACAACCTTCTTAAACATTATAAGGAGTTGCATATATTCCTGTTATTGGAGAGATTTAGAAATGTCTAATGCAAATCTTTCTCAGTACATCTTCAGCCTGATATGTGTTTGGTTGGGCTTTTTTTTTTTGTTCTGTTGCTGTTGGACCTGAGAAATGATTGACCTTTTTTCCCTGCTAAGTTTTGTGAAGTATAGCTGTGATGTTTGTAATGTGTCCTCTTTGCTAGACTAAGCAACATAAATTAGTTGGGGGAAAAATGAGCAAAGACAGATGAAGACCTTCGTGCAGAAGAAAACAATCTCCTTCCTACTGTATTAGAAAATGTAATAGTAAGTATTATCAGTCGCTAATTTGATATGACTGTCTTGATCATTCTGTGCATTGCCTGTATATGCCTGTGCTTCTTTAATGATTAGTAAACTCTGATCTCACTTCTGCTTTTTGTACAATTCCTTACTCAGTTCTGAGTTTATGAAGAACTCCTGGTTTTGCCCATTTCTCCTGACACCTTCCTGTGTCACCCTCTGCTGTGAGGAGAGTTTGTGCTCACTCTTCTAAGATCAGACAGCCTTCGGGTTGGCTTTACTGGAGTCCAGTGTCCATCTTCTGACAGAGTTTGGTTGCTCCCCTTCTCTAAATTCATTCTAGGAACATCAGGTGCCTTCACTACTGCTGGTTGTCCTTGCACCCTATAGCATAAAACCCTCACCAATGCCAAGAAGTTGGACAGCTCGCCTGTAATTTTCCTACCCCACTCCATTTTTCCGTTGCCCATCACATCCTCCGGCTCTGAAGGGCTGTGATATTTTGAAAGAAACCCTTACCCCCCCGAGTTCCCTGGTTTGGCCATCTGTCCTGTACCTTGGTTTGACAAGATGCATTTCTTTTCTGATGATGAAAAATTAAAAGTCATTATATTCTGGGCTTTAAATGTTGATGCACTTTTGTCTTTCTGAGCAACTTCTAGTCTTCTGTCATAATCCTGCTCATGTACTCTTGCAGTCAACTGAACAAAATCACAATTTAATTTTCATCTGCAGTATTTCTTCCATCTCCTTCCTGCATCTTTTCTATCAATGCAAGACTCCTGTAAGTGCACAGAGGATGCTCAGCAGACATGGCACACCGATTAAATTTGTGCCCCAGTGTGGAAATCCTCCTGTCCTATACATTTTATCATGATTCCTGCTTTTGCTGATGAGGCTTATCTCTTTGTGGGTTTATATCATTCCCTGATTACAGACTTTTGCTTTCCTTTGAGAAAGTGTGACCAAACCTGGTTTTCACTCAGAAAAATCTGGGACTATTTCTATGTCTCTGCCCATTTCTTCCTTTACCTATTTCCTAAATTTTTTATTTGTCAGCAAAAGTGCATAATAAAAAAATAATATTTAGTAACTGGATTATTGTAACTCTTTTTTCTGTCTCCTCTGACCCTTTGTGATTTTTGGGGACCAGTGCTACAGCCCCTCCCTTCCTGGGCTGCCCCTGTTCCCATAGTAGGAGAGCACTGAGGAGGAAGATGGTGGGGACCTTCTCCAGGGAAAAGGGACAAGACGGCAGTTGGGGCCCTGTTTTGGGAGGACACGATCCCAAATGACTCAAATGTGAGCTGAAAGGAAAGGAGGGTGCAATGGGGAGCAGAGCTGGGGGCATGCTGAGCAGCAACCTCTGAATTTTGGCTGCCTTCAGGGTGAGGGAACTTGCTGCCAGTCAGCCTGTCTCCATCACCGTCTTGAATGGAGGTGGCTGTTTTTCACTTAACATCCAACTTAGGTGTAACTTAGGTGGGCTGGAATTTTGCCCTTAGGTGCATTATACAATCAAAATTTCTCTTAGCAGCCAGTTAGCTGTGTTGCGTGGCAATCTTTATAACAATCTTTAATTGTTGCTTTGTTATTTGGCTGTGGTTATAAAATGTATTTTTTTTTTCTCCCCTCTGCTTAATAGGAATATTATCTTGCACATTTCAGACATATTAAACCAGGCATCTACATGGAAGATTTGATTTAATTTTACTTGTATTTGCCAGGAAGTTTGTGTTCTAAATAGTCATTTTACATCTCTTCACCTAACTACAAAGATATTGTAGCAAGTCTCAAATAATTGTGGTATCAAAGATTGTTCCTGTTTTGTTCCTACAGGGATCTTACTTTGTGTTTTAAAGATAATTGTCGTAAGACATTGTTGAATTATGTGTCGCTTAATGGGCTGTAGTATTTACATTTCTTTTCCTAATAGCTTGCATTGCAAATAATACAAACTGTGGGGCTGGGAGAACTGCAGAATAAGTTGTGGGTGTTTGTGACCAGCACACCCATTTGGGTGTTAAAGCTGATGCTAGTTCGTGCTCTCAAGGACCACTGTCTAGGTGCTGTGCTCCTTTGGTTACTGAAAAGGCTGATCTAATGCAAAGCTATTTTAGGGGTGGGAAGAGAGGATGTTTAGTTCTAGCAGAGGAAACTGATCTATTATAAAAACCAAACTAACCACTGTGATTTGGGCCTATTTTCAAAGACAACATTTCTAACAAAAAGCATATGGCATGAAGAAAAACATCTGAGAAATTGAAGAAAGTGGCTGTAGCGCTAGGAAAGGGCTAATAAATAATACTCTAAGATGTTGCTTAATGCCCCACACTCATCAAGTGTGTATATATATTAAAACCACAAGTGTATAGTTTAAAAGGGGTTATATGCTGCAGAAATTATGATTAAAGAGTAGGTTTTATACACATCCCTCTAATCCAGGCTCTGGAATGCAGGATGTGACCAAGACGTAAATGCTGTCGGGTGCTTTTTACCAAACAAATCCCTGGCTGGTGTCCTGGGGCTCCCACTCTCTTATTCTGCATTTATTACTGTGGCTGACATCTGTTCTTACTTCATATGAACAATTGATTTTAAGATATGGGGCTTTGTGAGACAAAAGGTGAGTTATAAAGTAATTTGGTTTTAAACTTTTAAAAATTCTGGATCCATTTGCCCTCTTTATGAAGCCCCTGATGACAGCCATATCTGATGCACGCTTCTAGCACTGCAGGCTGGGGAAGAGAGGTAAAATATCAGGCGTTTTTGTGGTTGTGTCACTGGCTGCCCATGGCAGAAAAACATCGGTGGGGAAGTTTTAGTGGCCACCTGCCAAAGAAATGTCCGTGTGGCTGGAGGTAAGGAAAAGGGCTGTGAATCATAGAATCATTTAGCTTGGAAAAGACCTTTAAGATCATAGAGTTCAACCATTAACCTAACACTGCCAAGTGCACCACTAAACCATGTCACTAAGCGCCATGTCTACACGTCTTTTAAATACCTCCAGGGACGGTGACTCCACCACTTCCCTGGGCAGCCTGTTCCAGTGTTTGACCACTCTTTCAGTAAAGAAATTTTTCCTCATGTCCAATCTAAACCTCCCCTGGAGCAACTTGAAGCAGTTTCCTCTTGTCCTATCACTAGATACCTGGGAGAAGAGACTGACCCCACCTCACTACAACCTCCTCTCAGGCAGTTGTAGAGAGCGATGAGGTCTCCCCTCAGCCTCCTCCAGACTAAACACCCCCAGGTCCCTCAGCCGCTCCTCACCAGACCTGTTCCCCAGACCCTTCACCAGCTTCATTGCCCTTCTCTGGACACGCTCCAGCACCTCAATGTCCTTCTGGCAGTGAGGGGCCCAAAACTGCACCCAGCATTCGAGGAGCGGCCTCACCAGTGCCCAGTACAGGGGCACGATCACCTCCCTGCTCCTGCTGGCCACACCATGGCTGATACAGGCCAGGATGCTGTTGGCCTTCTTGGCCACCTGGGCACACTGCTGGCTCACGTTCAGCTGCGTGTTGACCACTAAGTTTGAATGAGAGCTCTGACTGAGTTTTGGGCTTTGTTGTTCAAGCCCAAGCCAACAATATAGCATCAAATACATACAGTAACATCAAGGCCCATTTTTCACCAGCGGAGGCCAAAAACAGGGATGGGGAGAAAAGGAATAGTCACCTTTTCTACTTTAATGAGAATGAACAGAAGCTTAGTTATTTCTAAATGAAATTATTTAAAATTTGACTATGTGACTGTTAAAATGACTTCTTACTCTTAAAACGTACATGAATATTAGAGATTCTCTAGATTTTGCTGGTTGCGGGAATAATTTTCGTGTTCCTATGAGTGTGTGCCATGCATGCATGAGATAGGATCTTTTTGTTTATAGTTGCATAAGAAAAGTCCTTGTAATGTTTGTGTGTCTTCTTTGCTTCAAGAGGATTCTTCTAGGGAACTGTCTGATCTCGGTGATGTCAAACTACACTGGTTTTGCTGTGAATTAACTAGTCCGGGCGCAGCATTGCAGAGGCACAACTAAAAAGGGTTGCATTTCATTTGCTTGAATCAGTGTCCCCACACCTAGCCATCAGCACCCACCTGTGCATGAGTAATATTTACAGCAAGTTTGGGACAAATATATTAGTTTGCTCTTTAGGAAAAAAAAAAGACTTGTTCTGGGATCCTTCCTGGGACAAAACGTTGCCTGGTTTAGCCCTTTTATGGCTGTGTTTTGGAAGCCAGCTGGATTCACAAAACGATGCGACACCCAAGCGTATTGTCCATCATGGAGTCATATTTCTAGGAATGCTCAAAGAAAAATCCTTTGAAA